TTAATGTCCTTGTTAAACTTAGAATAATTATCTGCAATACATTTTTTTGGCTTCTTCCTAACCTAATTTTTCTCAAAATACTAAATTAACACTGTAAACATTTTGCACATGTGTACAGTGGCAATAAAATGTAGTTTTAAATATTCTAATTCTAACTATTTAATTCTCATTTTTTTTAGTCTACAGTTACTATGAACAATTTATTGGAAAAAAGAGAAGTATATCTTTAGTACAGCCTAGAACACTTGTGGAAATTTGAAGCACTCAAAGCTTAAGGTATCATCAAGTATTTCATGATAAAAAACTGCTAAAATTATGGTAACTAACTCAAAATTAGATGTCCACTTTCAAAATGGAAAAGCCAAGTTCTGAAAAAGTTTAGGATTGTATTGGTGACATGTTAAGAAAAACTTGTTAATAGCAATTTGTAGAGAGTTGGAATATTACCGCAAAATAAAGTATCAAAATCAGTGGTGCCTCAATATGACACAAATCTTTAAAGAAAAACACTGTTAACACTGTAGCTGGAATGAATTATATGTATCTTCTATGAAAAGCAGTTTAGTGGTATAGTGTTAAATTAGGCTATTTCAAAAAAAGAAACAACAGATTTATAAAATTAAAGAATCTAGAGAAAATGTATTATGAATTATTCTCTTTCAGAAATTGTGACATTTATAATAATGCAAAATAACTGAATCTTTTATCTATCCATTTCCTGTTCTCTGACCTTTAAATTATATGAAGAAAAATATCTTATTATTTGGATCAACTTTACTCTCTTTTTATAGAACTTTTAATGGGAATAAAAGGAAATAATAAAGCAAATGTTAACCTTTATTTGGTGTGTTTTTATTCTAAGAAAGTATCCTTTCAAAGAAAAAAATGTAACACAATTATTTTATTTATGAAATAATACTGCATCAGGACAGTTATTTTGAAATACAGCATCAAGTAACAATCAGGAATCTTGCCATAGATGCAATACCTAATATAGCTATAAAAGGAACTATATTTTAAAACATCCTACTATAATACAAATGATTATGCCTAAGATATTTGATGTCTTCCTTTTTTCCGAACAACTTCTGCTTTTTTTTACTGTAACCTTAACATCCGTTGTAAAATATCAGATGATTTAAGTGGTTCTAGTATCATGATCTCTAAGTTATATAGTGCTACAAACCAGATTGAGGCCTATACTCCAATAGAGGAAAGAGACAAAATAGAAGCATTTAACTTTTTAATTTAGGATAGCCCACATTTTAAAGGTGTTGATTTGAAGGGAGTCTATGAGGGCCGGGAAAACAAATGACTAATGAATTCAGTGACCTTGCCAAAATTGAAGTATAATGTATATAGTCAGCCTAAACAGCATCTGCCCATGTACATAAGTAATAGAACAAGTGATTCCAAGGCAGAAAGAAATAGAAAGAAAATGCCATTCTAGAGAAGTTGCCCATTAATAGTCTTGTGATATTCTGTTCCTTCAATGCCTTAAATGGCGGGGAACTAAGCACTACTATAAATAATATTTATATAGACAGAGAGTGAAAGCTGAAGAAACAGATGATAAACAAGTGAAATATATATAGATTGTGTGAAATGTTTTGTTTACTGAGAATTTAAAGGAACATTTTTCCTTTCAAGCTTTTGTTTAATATTATTTAAGAATTTTCTTTTAAAAGATATAAAACTTATAATGTTGCAGTATTAGTATGACAAGTGACACTGAATTTGTAATAAACGAAATGCCATTGGATACTATTCATTGCTATAAAAGCTTTGGTGGATGACACTGTGAAATGAATTCTCTGCTTAATGTCCTTCAAAACACAGAAGGCAGCTTGAAAACATTTGTTCAAATAAAAAATTTACAACAGGACTTTGGAATCTTCCAAATACTCCATATTTCTTGAACAATACAGTTATACTCAAAGATATTCAGAGACATAAAAATTATCTCTTCTTGCTATATCTATACATACAAATGTAATCAAAGTATCCGGTTAATATAAATTCTGTAAAAACTATTTAAATATTGCCCTTTTGAAATATTATTTTATACTTGGATATTCAAAATTATCAGTGAATCTGAAATAATTATGTAAATAATTAGTTCGTTATGAGTTGCATAGACAGCCCCAACCTGTTATAATTCTGAGTGGTTTTTGGACGTATTTCCCCCTTTTAGCATTATGTTAACTCTGCTTGTGTATGTGTGCATATGACAATCCAATTATGACAAATGCAAATATGTTGCCTATCTTTATACAAGTTTTTGAGGATTTATCAAGAAAAATATGTATATGTTTTCTCTGTGATTTGTGTATTCTCTGTGAATTGTGATTTATCCCTCCCTTCCCCCAGCCCGGTGTGTTGAATTTATGTGTTACTGTTGTATGGATGCACTGGGAGTTATAAGGTTTGCATATACTATAGTCTGAGTCTGATGATCCATAGACGGACTGGAGGGGAACTTAGAATGGAGTTGTTGGCATCATCCCAAGCTGTTGCCTCTCCCAAAGGGATGCAGTGGGAAAGCTTCTTCTGGATATGTTTTCTTTATAGTTCCTAGCAAGATCCAGCCTATTTTTGAATTCAAGCTTTCTTTTGTATTTTCATCCATCACATCAAATTTGATTCTGTTATGTTCTTTTCTTGGAGAAGTATCTTGCTGATGTGCGAGTCTTAACTTTCTAGAATGAAACATTTCTAACTGAAAAGAAAATCTGAACATTTCTTCAAAATGCTACTCTTGATGTAGGTTATACTCAACATGACTACCATCTGTTGCACAAGATTTCCATACATAACAAAAAATTATGTCATCCGAATCCCTTCCAACTTGTAAACATTCTTCCTGAACTGTATGTCTGAAACTAGTCCACTTCAAATAAATTAATGTACAATGACTTAAGCACTTGTAACGTCTGAGAAAAAAGTATGTATAGGTGGCAAGTCAGCAACCATTCATATGATCAAAACTGTATTTCTTTCCAAACCCACCATCATAACAATGACTATTGGGTCACTTACAAACACAAAACCAGATTATGAAACCTGGAGTTTGTGCCCCTCTTCTTTCTACTCTGCAGTCATAAGTGAATGAATGAAAAAAACTTTCTAACTCACCTTAATTTAACATATAATTAAATATGTTTAATTATATTAAATAATATAAAATAAAATAATTTAATTTAATATAAGACAAACTTCAATAACAGTTTAGCCATTATTTATTAAACAAACCAAGTTAAAGGCACAGTATTATTAATTTGAGTTGCCTTGTGGAGTGGGTGCTATAACAAATTGCATAAGAATTAAACAATTTTTAACAATTATAACAGAAGATACAAAGGGAGAGAAAAGGCTTAAATTGATAGGAAACAGTGATGTATTCAGCAGCATTATGTATAGATGAGAACATGGGTAGATACATATGAAGAAAATTATGATAGCAAAATAATATTTATAAACCCCACATCTTGGTATGCTACAACTGAGATATATTCTCAGATTTACCTATTATACTAAAACAATTTTAGCATAATAAATAAAAATGAGCTGTAGTGAACTTTGGTTCCTAATTCTTTATATAAATGAAGAAATTCAAGAGTTTTTCATCTTATTCAAAAATGTGTAAATTTAACTTACTTAGAGCTACTTAATTTCATCTGTAGTTCAGTAATTTGGTTTGTCTTAAACTACAAATAGTAAATGTTATTTGATAGTGTTGCCAGGCAAAAGAAAAAGGGAATTGGAAACAAATGCATGTCACAGGTGCTTTTTCTCCAATGGCTCACAACTTGGTTTTCTCCCACTCAATACAGGTAAAATAACTAAGTGTTCCAATGGTGGAGAACCATGTTTGCTTAAAACTGGGTCCTTGGAAATGTCTTCATCAGAGAAAGTGGGTGGGCTATTTCAGTTTATTTCTCCGAATTAGGAAAAACTTTTCCAACTGTATCTCAATAGCTGATGATGATGATATCACCATTATTTGTCATGGTATGTTCCCTTAGAATTTAATGGAAGCATAGGACATTAAATAAGCTGCAGGCCACTGAAGTGATTGCTGTATAATGAAAGAAAGAGCAATCTGTTCATATACTCTGCAAAGTAGTACAAGAATATCACATGTCATCCATGAGAATTTTTTTTTAAATGAAAGCATTTTTAAATCCTCTTTCACCACACTGACAGAAAAATGAATGTAGGATAACTTCTCTGCTCTAGCAGTACTATCTGAAGAACTGTCTCATAATGGGAGCACTAGATAGTAAATGATATCCAACTACTAGCTAATTCAGAGTTGGGGGTGGAGGTAAAGCCTGGTATGAAGAGCTTTTGTGAATAAGTGATTATTCTGACACTGAATTGCTGCATACTGTCAATGTAGCATCTGTAATTATTAGGGAAGAGAAACTGGGGTACGAAGGCATAGAATTGCCTTGATTTGAATGGTAATCGTTTGAAATATGGGTATGAAGTGCTAATTAGATACTGAGTAAGTGCTGAGATGCAGATGCTACAGGCTTTCATTCTGGTTAGATAATAAGTGAGTGGGACTCCTGCTGGAATGTGTCTGAGCATATTCCTTCTTTTCTTCATGATAGAAGGAAAAAACCTGTTATTACTAACAAAAAATGTTTAGCAGGATATGAATCTTTAGAGAAAATGTGAACAATTGGAAGCTATTCCATCTTCTGAAGCTGTATTTGTTTCTCAGATACTACTTGAACCCTCCAATTTAATGGGGCACCATTTAACATTAAATTGGTTCTTAGCAAAACTGAAGCTATCTATGATCTCTGAGAACTGACCAATTTGATATACTGTATATTACCTGATAGAACAGGATGTGATTGATTTAAGTATGCTTTGCCTAAAGCCAAATGAATAAATAAAGTAAAATAAATATATGAGCCTGAGATTTTATTACAGCTCATTTATGCTTATGTATTTTATATTAAAAAGGTCACATGACTTGTTCTTACCTGTGTATACAATTTTTAGACTCAAGATACGCCATCCCAGCAGCAACATCTAATGAGAATTTCACCAACTGTTTGGTTTTTAGCTCATCCTTTTTCTTTCTTAAAAAGGAAAGGAAATCACCTCCTAGAGAAACAAACAGATAAGCAATGAGACATGGTGATATTCCCATTTATCTCTCATTAGTGACGCCTGACTGAACAGGAGGCAGTATACTCTCTGCTCTGCTTTTCAATCAATCTGATAGTTGAGTAAAAATAATAAAAATATCAAGATTATAATTTAATTAATACTAAGGTTTTTCAAACTATTTTAGATATATTTCTGTTACAAGATGAACTCCGCACATTGCATAGAAGACTTAAGTGGAACCCTACGTATATTTATTTATATATATATATATAAAATCTATCCTGCATTCTCATCATTGAATTCAATTCCAAAGTTAATTCACTTAAAACAATTTACTGTAAGCTACAATAACCACAGGACATGCCTACTATCTCTTAGCTGATATTTTTTATCACATAATTTTTATTTATATATATATATATATATATATATATATATATAATTTTTATCATATATATGATAGCACTTACTGGAGAAAATGCTCTGCTGGATCATTATTCTGATTATTGGAAATGATGTGTGCTATTTACATGATGGAATAATAACTCCATTTTTAAGAAGGGGACAAAAGATTTGGGAAGTTTGCATTAAAGTAATCTATAAAAAATAAGATGTGAAGTGATGTAGGAAAATGCAATGTACAGAATGGGAACTTGAAGTTAAAGGTTTACAGGAAGGCAATGTACTGGGGTACAGAAAGAATATTTCTCATATCTACCTGGAAACATCATGCTATCTGGAGTTTTTTTTTTCCTGCAAAGTATGTGTTCTAATCACAGATCTATGATCCTTCCTATTTTACCAGGATGCAAAGCTCACACAGCTATTTTCATTTGAATTTGTGACATTGTATTATGGCTCTGTACAGAACACATTCTCCCTTGGAGGGGAGTAAACTTGCGTGCCTAAAATTTATTTGCATTTTTATCCTACTGCATTCCCTGGAAGCTCATTAAGATCAGAAAGAAAAAAATGATATGAGAATTATCAAATATAAGTCAGGGTTTTATTTTAAAAATCTGTTTATTAATATATAATATATGGAATTCAAGGTCTTATAGTGCTTAGCCCCGGGATAGATCACAGCAGGGATAAGTAAACTGTAGCTTATATAGGGTTTCCAGCATCTGCAGAGCTCCTAACATTTCCTTTCTATCTTATTTTACACCTAAGAAGTAAAATAGTCTTCAATGAGGTTTAAGGGTCTTATTTTACTTAAACTACCAAAAAAGAAAGAATTATAATTATTTATAATTAATAATTCTTATAAATTATAATTTTTATTATAAATTATAATTTTTATTATAAATTATAATTTTTATTATTAATTATAACTTTTATTATAAAGAATTATAATTCTAAGAGGTCTGTAGGGGGTGTGCATAAGTGCACCAACGTGCCTACCATCCCTGTCCTATTGTTTCTTTTCTCTTTTTTTTCTTATATGTATCCATGTATTCATAACTATGTTTTTACTTATACCTATTATCTTGTAAGCAATTGACAAACCAAATAAATAAATAAAAATAAATAAATAATTTTAGATGCCATATCTCCATGTTCTGTGCATCACCCATAGGGTTCAAAATTAAATTAGAAATGCATTCCCAAAAAGGAAAAGAGGTGCCTACCCTGCTTTAAAAGAAACATCCTTTTAGCACATTCAAATAAATATACATATAATAATACCGGTAGGAATTAAAAAAAACCAGCATAGGCATTATTTTATTGTAAGCTACATTAATTCTCCTGAATCTAAATCAGGTAATTTTTTAATACAAAGACTTGCTTTTTAACACAAAATAGAGATATGTTTATTTATTATATGAAATCAGAAACAACTGCCTTCATATAAAACTGACATGAGGGCCTTCCGGTTTGCCAGGCTTCGGCGGCGGCGGGGATTCGCGATCCTGCGCGATCCCTGTTGCGCTAGCCGTCTTGGTGCCTCCGATCCTGACGGGTCTGGAGGATAAGGCTGCCCCGTAGAGGCAGCCGAAGATAGGGAGGATCCGGAGAGGGGTTTGGGGGTATCGCAGACCCCCTCCCCATCCGGCATAACCTCCTTTTCTCAAGGCAGTGGAGCGGCGGTCAGCAATGGCCGCCACAAAGAAGCCAGCAGCTGGATAAGATTGTGCTGGAGGAAGAAGGAGAAAGAAGAAACAGGAGAAGTGAAAGTGCTGGCTGAGCCGGGAGAATAACAACTTTTAAATACCCTGGAAACTGAATTGCTTGAATTGCCTGAAAGATACATTGTATCCCTAAGAAGATTGGAAAGCGGCGGAGAAAGCTGTCAAGGGAAAGTTTTTTTTTTCTTCACTCTCCCACCCCATATAAAGCCAAGGGATAAAGGATTCCTGGACATTGGATTTAACAGCTTAAGAAATCGGAAAACCTGTATGGAGGTATGGATTTCTGAACAATTAAAGGAAAATTGTTGTAAGTGGGAAGGGAGAGGAAAAATAAATAAATTGGAGCAGAATTTGAAAAAGGAGGAGATTGCCTAGAACTTTAAAGAAAGATATATCTTAATTGGAACTTTTTGATTAAACAGTAACCCCAGAAAGAGAAATACAAGAAAGAAAGAAAAAATATTAAAAGAAATAGTTTATTTGGATTCTTTGGTGACTTTGGAACTTTTTGGAATTATTCTTGATTAAAAATACTTGGGTGGTTGTTTTGGAAAAAGTTTTTCTCCTCACGATGGCATTGCTTGTGGATGAACTAAAAATTGAATATCAAAAATATAAAAAAGAAGAACAAGATGGAAAAGATACTTTGGGCACTCTTTTTCAATTTCTAGAAATGGCGGTATGCACTTATGAAAAATTGACTACGCAGCAGGATGACTGGGACAAAGAAGAAGAAGAAGCCATCTTTGATGAACAATGGGTTCCTTTTGGGGAGGAGGAGAAAGAGGAAAAGAAAAAGGGGATTTTAAGGTTTGAAAAAACAATCAAAAAAGAGAAAAATGAGACGAAAGGTGGATACAAGGTTAGAAAACAACAGAAAGGGGGTAAGCAGAAGAAGAAAAGGGAGGAGGAGAGACAAAGGGGTAAAAAGGGCAAGGAGAAAAATAAGCAAGAGAGAAAGGAGGGAATGAGAAGCCTTAATGGTGGGAAGCAAGATTTAAAGAAACAAAACTTATTTAGAGACAATGGGTAAATCTAATTGAAAAAGGGATTCTGGAAGGTACATAAGATTGTGTTTCTATATGTGTATTTAGAGTAAAATGTTTAAGATATAAATGAGTATCAATATATATGATTAGCTTTTTAATGGTATTGATAGTGGTTTTATATGCTTTTATTTTGTTTTTTGTTTTTCTCATAAAATTTATTGTGTAATTTTAGAATGTACTAAACAGAATCCCAATATAAACTAAGTGTTATATTAAGTATTATTAAGTTAGGGGAAAGAGTCAAAGGCGTCACTCCAATCAGTGTACAGGAGAAGTATATTTAAAGAGAAAAGATGAATGGATAGCTGGAAATAGAACAGACAAAGAATGATAAGTATTATGAATTGAATTGAGATAAGATGAATAAAATAAAAATAAGAAAGATAAAAGAGGGAAGAAGCTATATAGAAAATTGAAAATGGTAATAAGATATGGAATGATATATAAAGTAAATATGATTTTTGAATTTGTGTCTGTGCGAAGCGTTTTAACCCGGGATCAAGCAGCTTTCAGAAAAGATGTTTTATGTTTTTTATGTTTTATGTTTTGTATGTTTGTGTATTGTTTTTGAAAGGCAATAAAATTCTAATTAGCAAGAAATATAATTTGGATAATAGAATGAAAAGGAGAAGTTGGGATAAGATACGAAGTTGAACAGATAACCTAAATATATATATTACAATTTGGAACTATTTTGTATGTTCTATTGGTTTTTTTAGAAAAGATCTTTTATGTTATTATGCCTTGATTGTTTGTGTATTGTTTCGTAAAACTAATAAAATTTGTTTAAAAAAAAAACTGACATGTGTGTGAGAGGGATTAGTTTAATTACCAAATCCTGAGATTTTTACCAAGTGTTCCAAAGAACCAGGATTCCATACATAGAAAGACAAGAGGTGATGACTTAATTACATGGTGTTTAGTTAAAGCTTTCAAGAGAACAAACTGCCTTATTAAACCCTTTGGTTGTTTTCTCACCTATATTGCCTACTACAGAGTATATGGTTCTAATTTATGACTCCAGTAAAAATGCTATCACATTTATGAATCAGATTGAAAACACTGGAGAGTAATAAATAAAATTCAGCCCATCATTAGTCACTTAATAATAATAAAATATATCCAAAGTGCTTTTACATAGCCTCAAGTGTGTAATTACGTGCTTCTTTAAAAAATTGATGTGAAAATAAATATTACAGTTGTAGATTGCATTTACATAAAATATTTCATGCTCCAATAGCCACAAACATGGTTATAGTCAAGCCCCTCAAAATAAGTTATACATGGGATTAGATGAATTTATTTATACAAAGATTTAGCATCTCAGTAATATACTCATATTACTAAAGGTGATTTATAGTAATTTAAACAGCAAACTAAATCAGAAAAAATAAAACCTAATGAAATTAGGCATAAGGAATCCTACACCCACTATCTTGTTCTTTGAAGATAATAAACTGGGGCATTCTTCTCAAGCTTTTGCATCAATCTTGTTGAAAATTTTCCCAAATCACCTTAAGACCAAGTTCTATTTAAACCAATTTTGCAGAACATTTTGAAATATGTTTTTTCTAGTAAATAATACTACATCTTCCTCATGTCCTGAGTGATGTGGTCATTCTAGAAATAATGGGGCTTCTATGATATTCCCTTTCCTCTACAGCTACCATTGCCACCATCCATTGTGAAGATTTTTGGTGAAATGAGAAATGTGGAGTGATATAATCAGAAAAATATATTCTCCTATTCAGTCAAAAGAAAAGTTTCATTAGATAAATAAACAAATATGATAGTCTTGACAGAAGAAGCCATA